TATCCTAGTGAGCAAATTATATTGTAAGCAATAAGTAAGTTTAGGACCTGGGGGTAATAAAGGATATTTTGTTGATCGTTCTGAGCACATGGTGGTTAACTGCTTCTGTATTGATCTGAAAACTCAGGTTAGCTGAAAGAATACAGCAGGTCTATGGCACAGTGGCAAGCACTGCTTGCTTTCCCCCAGCCACACAGTAGCCCCTCAAGAGAGGCCATGCAAGGTGCTGTGTAGACTGCTGGAGCACCAGTTGTGCTCAAGGGTACTTTTGCTTGTGAGCTGTAGGGTTCATGGTGTGGATTGGTTAAGTCTGCTCTCAACTCTGGCTTGAGGCCCTAGTCCAAAGGGTACAGATCAAAACCTATGTCTTTGTGTGCCAAGTGACTGACAGGAGTGGGGTGGAACAAAGAGGCCACAGCTTGCATTCTCAGACTCCTTTATAAAGGTCTCATTACTTGGAGTATTTGCTTGGGAATACGCAGAATGAAGAGGAGGGTAAAAAACAGTGCTGTGAATAAAGCATATAGACATGGTGATGAGGAGAGAGAAAGGCCAGCGAGAATGGGGTAAGCAGAGGTTCCTACTGTGGCCAGCTTCGTGATGATGTGGGAATGGTGGCAGGAATATGTGCAGGATGTGGTGCAGAAGCATTTGTCAGGTTCAAATTGCAATCACACAAGAGAGCTGTAAGCAGTGCTGCTTTCATTGGCCAAACTCATTTCATCTAGTAGCACTTCCTTGTACCAGCTGTCCCTTCTTTGTGATCCCTCCACAACCTCCCCTCTCCCCAGTCCTACTGATAGCCCTGTGTAGCTCCCCCTGCCCCTGTGTGCTCCCACTTCCATTGCCTGCTGTGCCTCTGCAGCCTGCACTTGACAAGCTGTTTCTGCAAAATGGGGAAGGAGAGGCATTCAGAAGCCCCTTGTTCATCTCCTCCACCTTTACAACTCTCCCCTTCCTAGTAGGGGGTAGCAGAGCCCAGCCTGGGTCCACGACCCAGAGCTCTGCACATTGCACAGTCCCAAAACATGCTGTCAGATCATGTAACTCCATTTCTTTTCATGCTCTTTTCTGCTCCAGCACTGTTTCCTACTGTCAAGGCTAATGAGGTCAGGGCTTTTGGTTCTTTCCTTATCCTTGCTCTGTCCATTGTGAATCACAGCATTGAATAGCATTGCTTATGCTGCAGCTTCCCAGATACCTCTGTCTGGCCCTCCTCTCAATCTTCAATTCCTCCTCTCCCGTTTTTCTTTCTCCCTGCTTTTAAAACCACTATAGTGAAAGTAAGAAAGTTGTGAAGACAGAAGGCCAATTTTAGCCGTGGTACAAGCAAAGGCAGCTTCTGTTTCTTGGGCGTTATGTTTGCTAACTCCAGAGTGAGTTTAGCCTGTAACTGGTGCTGTTGAAAGCTGTTGCAGGCAGAATTTGCATGTTTCCTTTCAAGGCAGCTGTGATAATAGCAGGCTGTACAGTTGCTCTTTCTAGGTCTTCTTTACAAACATTATTTCCCTTATCCACCAGAGAGGTGATTTGGCTCAGTGATGTTGCCTTTGTACCAGGAGAAGTTGGTACTGCTCACAGGTGCTGGATCCAAAGCCTTCTGCTACCCCTTCTGCAGATTGTTGCATAAACCTGGATGTGGAGGCTGAGTGGCAGCCCTGTGAGCCCCAGCCTCCTGCAGTCTCACAGGAGGAAGAGTCCCCATGTTTGTGTAGCTGCCTGGTGACCCACAGCTAGCATATGCCACAGCACAGGTGCACCAGGATGCGCTTCATACAGTTTTATGTGGCAGAGTGTGTATGTGATGAGCTCTTGATTTAAGCCTTGTGCTAACAGCTTAGTAGTTTTGCTCAAATACATAGAAAAGGTCCCAACCTTAAGCTCCTGTTCTCGAAGCCAAGCTTGCCCTGTAGCCTTCATGACACTTTTAGTGGAGTATCTGAGAGCAGGCAGCTAGACCAAACATGATGTTGCAAGCCTGGAAATGTAAATAGCACTTGCTTGTGCCATCCTTCTTTGGAATTACTCTGGGTCTGAATTTTGGAAATGGATGAAAAGTCAGTCTTTTTGCAATACTACTACTGTCTTCTGTTTTCTTCTGCCATTACAAAACAAAGAAAGAGGCAGTCTAAGTGGCAGCCTGGCACCTCACAGGGGCTGTGTTCCCATCACATGGAGAAGGTCCAGGCTCTCGATTGCAGGGTCCCCTCTGTGCATCAGTCATCTCCCTTATAGAGTATAAAACCCTCCCACCTAGAAGAAAAAGTACTCAGGGAAATGTATGTTACTTAAAGCATGCTTTGTTCCCTACAGTGGTCTTTTCCTGCAGAAAGACAGCAATCTGGCCCATCCTTTTGAATGCACAGTTTCATGGAACAGGAAAATCCCCTCGTGTTTTTAAAGCAACAGCACTGGTTTTCTCTGAGATCTCACCCTGCAGTTTAATTTTCAGTGGAACAAAATTCTTAGATCTATTTTTTAAGAATCTGGCATCTTTATTGGCAATCAAGCCTACCAATTGTGCCTTCTGGTGAACTCAGCAGACCCACAGCTTTGTGTAATTGAGACTGCAGCATGATAGAGAGTTCTGTTATGGCTTCACATATTGATCAGTCTGACTTAATTTCCTCATGGCTCCTGGACCACGCTAGGGATGATGCATTATGTTGAAGGCCTGATAAGCCTGTTTGAGCAAAACATCTCAAGGGGTTCTGGAACAGAGGCAATTACCAATACTGATATGTGTTTCCTTTCATCAAAATTTAAGGGCTCATTAATAGGCTGCACAGCAGCTGCTGTTTGCAACACATGACTTTTTTCTTTAATTAAGTTGGAGATACTCTTTCCTCAGCCATATGAGTTGGCTGTTTCCAGAAGGAAATGAAATTGGGTCCCAGGATTTGATTTTAATGATATGTGTGATAGCAGTATCTCCTGCACTGCTATGTTCACTATTTTGGTAATTGAAGCTTAGGTTATATTTCAGAGCAATAGTCCCATCCCACTGCTTAAACTACGCACGCCCACAAATCCTGGTGTTTTACAACTTCTGAGTTTTGTGTCAGGTTACTGATGGTGTCTGCTGATTACTGGGTAGATGGATTCCTGCTGTAACTTTGGCAGTCAGCATTTTTGTTCAGCAGTGGATATGTTAAAAATGTTTTTAAGCCGTGTTTATTTTAGGCTCTCGGATACGAGAAGGAAGCTCACTGTTGTTTCTGGCTGGTTTACCTTCTCTCAGCAAAAATCCTAACATTTCATTTTTAACCTATTTGATGTAGGTGTGTTGTGGGTGTCAAATTCATACTGCTATTTTATGTTGCAAATTAGATGCATGGAAAGAAAATATGATCAAGGCAACCTGCTCTGTTAAACTTGATTTTAAACAGTTTTCAGATAAGCAGCTAGAAGTTTAGTGCCTCACAGAATCATTTTTCATAGCTAGTAGGAGTTGCTTTTGTTTTGTTTATTCATCAGAAAATAATGTAACCATTTAACACCAGCTATAGCATTTTCTGATTTCCGTTTGACGCACGTTATCTCCTTAAGTAGCAGTTCTGCTCATTCTGCATGGAATGAAAGCCGGAAGCAACATTTTCCAAGGAACATTGGAAAATACTGGTGTTTTTAAGCATAGATGAATGCGGATACATACATTCTTGGGTGATTATCTAGGAAAAAGTGGAAAGGTAGCTGGGTCGCAGAAAATACAACACTTAAACCACGTTCCATAACTTGTTCAAAATCCTATGATATATGTCTGGTGCTTCATGAAAATTGTCCCTTACCTGATTTTTTTTTTCTTTTCTTGATGTCTGAACTTCTAGAATAATTTCTTCAAGTGATAATTACAGTTTTCATGATAAAAAGGAAATATTTAGTACTGGTAACTGTTGCTTAAAGTTGTGAGTCAAGTGATTCTTAGGAGGTCAGAAACAGGGAATTAGATGAAAAGAAGCATTTTAGTTCTCTAGGTAAACCTAGAATTCTTTTGAAGTTGTGACTCATATCCAGCCATTACTGGAATTCATGGTACTGATCCCATGGGTACAAGATCCCATAAATATTTAATGCGGGATGGCTGGTACCATAACTGCCCTCCAGGCTGCTGTTTGTAGTCACTTCTCTTCCCTAGATACTGTCGTGATTAAAATGTGAGGATGAGTGGGTTACTCTAAATTACCTTTAGCAATAATTAATTCAGATTAATCACCTAATCTTACAAACACTGGAGCACTGAAAGAACAATAATAGTGTGAGAAATCCCCTAAATTTACCTAGTATTAAATATATTCTGGATGCAAACATACTGATGGGACCAACTCAGACATTCCTACTGATGTGATAAAGCCAATGTGCTTTTACCTGACAGGTGGTTCCTTTGATTTCAGTGGCCTACAACCCTTATTAAGACTGTGCAGTTCAAAGTGGTAGGTTGAATGTCACGGATTTGCAGGATTAAGAGCAGTTTCAGCATATGTTAGGCCTTTGCTTGCTTCCTCACTCCTTAGTTGTCCACCGGTGTGCCTCTTGGCAGAGTTTGTTCCATGCAACACCCCACCATAGGCTACCTGCTCCAACCACTGCACAGGGCAAAGGAGCAGAGTCTGCTTTTAAGGGAGGTGTTGTAGTTTGGCCTGTATTTTAAAGGTCATTATTATAACATGTAGCAGGTTTGAGTTACAGAATGGACCTTTAAAAATAAACTTATTTTTAGGAACATAGAGTGCTGGAAAGAAACAGCAATTATTTGGTTCTAAAATGGAAGAAACTTAAGTAAACATGGCAATGTTCCCTATACCTGCTTTTCTGAAATGTATGTTAATGTTTTAAATGGTGGGACAGTAACACTATTTATCATTAGTTTTAAATCTTAATGGTACATTTAATTACCTCCCCCACTAGTTTCGGAAGCTGAAGCCCTGAAATGTGAATTGGGGTTTTTCTAATAATGTACACTATGCTATTTTGAATTGTGTTATTTATCTTTTAATCTCTAGGTGCTGAAGTGTTGTATATGAACATGTCAGCATATAATGAAGGTCGGCTTCAGTCATCTTTCTGGATTGTTGATAAACAGCATGTGTATATTGGAAGTGCCAGCCTAGACTGGAGATCACTGGGACAGGTAATGTAATTGAAAAAGTAATCCTATACACTTTGAATGTATAATGAGGAAAAAAAGTCATGTTTTGAGGCCAGCAAGATGGATAGCTTGTTTTTTCTGATAGTTTGCTGGCAAAAATGCCAGCCATCAAAAACTGCATTGCCATGGTTTTGATGACTTCTGTGTTGGCAAAAGTGTATTACAATAAATTTTACTACTTCTCATTGGAATAGCTGTCCTCAACAGTCAAAAATTTGATTGCCCCTATTGATTTCTCTGATTTTGTTGTTTCAGGTTTGTAAGTTCTAGTTTACTTTAAAAAAAAAAAAAAAGTGAGCAAACCTGTTGGAAAACAAACTGCTGCAGAAACTCCATGGTAATGCTGTGAGCGTGACTTAGATCCGTTCATCTGCCCTTTAAATAAGGAAAAGCAAAATCTGGAAAGACTTCCAAATGGGTATTCAGTATTATACTGAAATAGACAGCGTATTTAGGGAGGGGGAGATTTATGGATACTGAAAGTCAATAGCATCATGTCTTTGAAGGCTGTACATATTAGAGCGAATTCCATATTTGAATCCTCATAAACATGAGAGTTGAAGGATGTACACTAAGATTTCTGCCAACCACCAATGCTGAGGACTCTCTATAGTCTAAAACCATTTTGAATAAGTATTACTGCATCAGTAGTGCAGCTTATTTGCCTTCTGTGGGTATCTGTAGTTTCCTTCTTTCTGCAAGTCTCCAGATTATTAACAGCTATCATGTTCATTTTGACTACATACTGCTGATTCTGTGAGGCTGCTGTTGGTCATGCTTAGGGAGTGGAACCTCAGTAACTGAAATGCACAACAGGAAGGAGAAAGCAGCAGTCCTAGGTAGTTACTACTTGCAGTAAAGAAAGCTTGATTTCTAAATATGAGCAGAATCTTGGAAGCACATGAATAATTTTGAACATGGGTTCTAAGGGTCTTGTAAAGGAGGAGGTGTGTTTTGGTTGTATTGAAGGTTTTAAATGTTGTTTTGAGCTGAGACTGAAAGTGTGAATAAAACCAAGTCAACCATTTTGGTAAAGAATAAATAAATTTTTGCTGTTCCTAGGTCTATTTACTTATTTAGAAGGTAACTTTATGAACATTTACAAAGGAATCTGGAATACTGGTAGAAAATAGGATGTTAGCAAATCACAGAATCTTGGCCGAGATGGTGCATTTTTGCAACACATAGTTTAGGTTCTTGGACAGTTTAGAAATTGAGTGTTTATACATTCCTGTGCCCCATGAGCTAAACTGCTTCATGTCATGACAAAATAGCTCTTCACAGAACTATTTGGCTTATAAATACTTTAGCTTTGAAGCCACTTCTAATTGGGTTTTGAGTAATGGTGATAAATAATAAATGTGGAGAAAAGAAGCAATCTACTTCATAGATTATTATTATATTTAATGATTGTGTTTATGATCTTCATCACAGATGCTACAATACCTCATAGGCTTGGTCTTCTCACAGTGAAGTAAATCTTAATTCTTGTAACATATCTGTGTTAAACTTTGATACCAGTTCTTTTGTGGGCCAGTGTTTCAAATGTGATTCCTCACTGTTAATTTAATATCTCTTATTCATTTGGACATTTGTTTTTTCATCCTGTTGTCATATAACAGTATATTTTTATATGTAGTGGTAAGAAGCTCAGAATAGTATCTGTACAGAGCAAGAAGAAACCTCTCTGAATTGCAGTTAAAGAGAATCTACTTTCAATTGATTAAGAAATGTATGCCAAGGTTTCAGAAGAGCCTAAGGAAATTAGATCCTTGCCTCCTGCTGACATCAGATATGAGTGTCCAGTCCCCTTACTCCAGTTACAGGTTAACAAATCAGGGCAACTGTCAAAGAGATCTGATATGCAGTCCTAAAATAATAATCTCTCTTGAACTTTTCACATAAGAGGCAAAATAAGCAAAGAACTCGGTCATTTTGTTCTGAGTGCTTTCCTCAAGGACAGTATTTTGCACGTGCATGGGACCTAACTTTAAAACCCATGGTGAACCAAGCCCTTACTGGGGAAACACATCTCCCACGGGTTATCATTATCAGAGTCCCAGTGCAGCTGCAAATGAGGGATCAGGCCAGTCTTCTCTCAGATCAGCCTAAATGAGTACGATCTGAGTTTAACTGGGTAGTAGAAGAGCAGATAGTGCCAAGCCTGTCCAGATCCATGCCCTTGCCCTTGCCGTTGTACTGCCTTCAATAGCAGGGTAAGGTCTTCTGCAGTTTTGCAGGGGGAGGCAGGGAATTCACTGCAGATGTTGCTTTGCATTTCCTGTTATATCTTGGTTTACCTGCAGGGAAAGGACTGGGAAAAGGCAGACTGGGCTGTTGGTTAGTCACATATGTCTCTTCACAAACTCATACGACTTCCAGAGAAACAGAATGTGTGGTTATTGAATCAGCAAACCACTTTGGCCAGTATTACTAAACCTTGACAGCAGATCGCATAATAATGCAGGTCTCTGCTAATGTAGAAACATATGGTAGTTTGGCCTATCAAGCACAGCAGTTGTCTTCTTACTCAAACAAAACATCTAGTATGAGTCAGTCACCTTGTAGATAACAGTGTCTCATTATTCTGGTTTACATATCAAAGGCCAGGTTGGACAAAGCCTTAGGTGACATAGTTTAGTGTGAGGTATCCATGCCTACAGCAGGGGGGTTGGAACTAGATGATCTTAAGGTCCTTTCCAACCCTAACTATTCTATGATTCAGCAGCACAGTTCCAGTGTGAATTATGTGAGTGCATCCAGTTTCATATCTAATATCTGAAATGCAATGAAAAGCTTGAGATTGTAACTGTGTGCGATTGTCATATCTTCTCAGATGCCTTCCCTTGTACTTTCTACGTGCATGTTTATTGCTTTCTCTGTACTGAAACTTTGCATACATTCAGGACAGTACACTGTGTAATTCCTATAGGAGCACCTACCTGCTTCACTGGTGTGGCATTTTTACTAGGGATGCAGCAGGTCTCCACTGTATTTCACCCTAGGCAAGTCCCAGAGCCTTCCTACTTCATACTGTAGTGGATATAGAAATGCTTCTGTGACATAGCAGTACACAGCATTTAATATAGAGCAACTCAACATGATAGAGAATGGGTTAAAACTTAAACAGGGGAAGTTTAGATTGGATATAAGGAGGAAATTCTTTCCTGTTAGGGTGGTGAGGCACTGGAATGGGTTGCCCAGGGAGGTTGTGAATGCTTCATCCCTGGCAGTGTTCAAGGCTAGGTTGGACGAGGCCTTGGGTAATATGGTTTAGAGCGAGGTGTCCCTGCCCATGGCAGGGGGGTTGGAACTTGATGATCTTAAGGTCCTTTCCAACCCTAACTATTCTATGATTCTATGATTCTATATTTATGCAAGGTTACTGTGATAGCTGTAACTGGAGTTCATGCTTTTGTTCCTTTGGAGGTGGGAGGGGGAAGAGGAACGAGGTTGTTAGCATCATTCTTTTCTTGGGAGCCTGAATCTAAAGCTGAAATAGTAATTTAACTTTTAACAGCTCCATAGGAAGCAACATCAATGTGCAGGAAAATGGAGGGATCAGGCCCACTCAACAACATAGGTTCATGAACAGCAGGTCCTGCTTGAACAACCTGATCTCCTGCAATAAACTGACCTATCTGGTTGGTGAGGGAGAGGCTGTGCACATTGTCTGTTTGGACTTATGTAAAGCATTTGACACTGTCTCCCACAGCGTTCTCCTGGAGAAATTGGCTGCTCATGGTCTGGATAGGTGGATTCTTCACTGGGCTGGAAACTGGCTGGATAGTCAAGCCCGAAGAGTGGTGGTAAATGGCATTACATGTAGTTGTAATGGTACTAGTGCTGTCCCTCAGGGCTCAGTTTTAAGGCCAGTGTTGTTTAATATCTTCACTGATGATCTGGATGAGGGGACTGAGTGCACCCTCAGTAAATCTGCAGATGATACCAAGTTGGCTGGAAGTGTTGATCTGCACCAGGATAGGAAGGCTCTGCAGAGGGATCTGACCAGGCTGGATCGATGGGCTGTGGCTGGTGGTATGAGGTTCAATACGGCAAAGTGCCAGGTCCTGCATTTGGGCCACAACAACCCCATGCAACACTCCAGGCTTGGGGAAGAGTGACTGGAAAGATGCTTGGCAGAAAAGGACCTGGGAGTTCCGATTGATGACTGCTGAACATAGGCCAGCTTGTGCCCAGACAGCCAAGAAGGCTAACAGCATCCTGGCCTGTATCAGCAGTAGTGTAGTCAGTAGGACCAGGGTGGTGATCATCACCCTGTACTTGGCACTGGTGAGGCTGCACCTTGAATCCTTTGTTCAGTTCTGAGCCCCTTACTATAAGAAACACATTAAGGTGCTGGAGCAGGTTCAGAAGAGAGCAATTCAGCTGGTGAGGGGCCTGGAGCACAACTTGTGACGAGGAACAGTTGAGGGAACTGGGGTTGTTCAGCCTGGAGAAAAGGAGGCTCAGGGGGAACCTTATCAGTCACCTGAAACTACCTGAAAGGAGGTTGTAGTGAGGTGAGGGTCAGTCTGTTCTCCCAACAAGTAATAACACAAGAGGAAATGGCATCAAGCTGCACCAGCGGAGGTTTAGATTGGATACAAGAAAAATTTCTTCACAGAGAGGGTGCTCAGGCATTGGAACAAGCTTCCTACGGAAGCAGTGGAATCACCGTCCCTGGAAGTGTTCAAAAACAGTGTAGATGAGACCCTCAGTGACATGGCTTAGTTGTGGTCCTTGGGGTAATGGTTGGACTTGATGATCTTAAAGGTCTTTTCCAACCTGGTTGATTTTATGATTCTGTGATGAGGGCTTACATGTCAAAAGGTATCAGCTTTGTTCTTATAATCTTTGGGGAAAATTCTTCTCTACATTTATAAGCTGGAAACCAATCTCATTGTGAGGCTAACTGAGTTTTGTTGCCATTTTCTTGACTTGCTAGCACTGACAAGAAGTACCAGCAGCATTTCCTTTAA